AAAAGTAATCGGTTAGAATTTATCAGAAATTCCAGATGCGCCATGTACTTAAAGACAGTTCCCGTGATTAAGTGACATGGATAGTTGCTGCTCAATTATGAACCAGTAGCTGATAAGTAAATCCCCAAAGACGAAAAAAGCAAGAAGAATCTTCAAGAACTAAACAAAATCGACTGACCACCTTGCGTCTCTGTGCAACCCCTGGCTCACAAATCCCTTTTTCGCATCTCCCAGTAGTGGATATCATCCAATGCAAAGAAAAGAATACGAAAAACAACAGAAAACACAGGACGGAAAAGTAGTGAAAAAGAACTTTCAAGAACTGTACGTACGAATTTAGGGTTACGGTAGCGTGCATCTTTTAGTGCAGTCGAGCTTTTGCACCAAAAAAATTGCATCACTGATGATTTTTACGCGTTTTACCTTGCGAGATGGGTTGCAGTTGACTGTATAGTGTGGTTCGCTGCGGACGGTTGGGCGTGTCAGGCGGGATGAGTTTGGCGCGGTGCCAAACCGTTCTCCACCAGTTGTGAAGCGAGCAAGTGATAAAACTGATCACACTATCATATCGTTCGTATTACTCGTTTTCTACCACTTTTGTCGCATGCGCGCTTCAACAAGAAGGCAGAGAACGGCTTTGACGGGGTGACACACTCATACTGCCTGACACGCCCAACCATCAGCAAGTATGCAGCGAACTAATACAATGCACTTGCTCCTAGAATGGGATGTAATAAGGGAAAGCAGAATTACTCATAGGTATGAGCGTCAGCAAAATAGACATGCAGTTTCGATTAATGCCCGCCGCCCAACAAAGAACAACTGAGCGGCCCTGCGTCAGATGTGGAGAGGACATCTAGCAAGTGGGCGGTCCAACTGAGCGGGTGTTAGAACTAGAACTTTCGGCTGTTAATCTCTCCTCGCTCGCTGTGGAGTCGCGAAAGTGGGACAGTCTCTTAGCTGGGGGGCTGGACTACTTGCACAAGGAAGGACGACCACGAATTACTTGAGCGCGGAGGCTGTCTTTGAATTCTTATATGAACAATGTTGAATACAAAGGCCGGCTAATGCACTTATGCCCTACCGACACTGCCGCTGGCGTACGCTGGAAGCGCTACGCTTCGCTGCCGCAAAGTATAAACGGAGCCTTAATATTGCACCGGTTAAGAGGAAAAAGAATTCGGTTGGTTTTGGGGGCTCGGATCCCACGGATATGTGGCCTCATAGCCAATGCGCTGCATTTGTCCACAATAATGTTAAGCGGTTCAACAACTCATTGGCAGCTTCGTATCCAGTAAAAACTTGCCAGGGAAATCAATCCCTTAAAGTTTATCTTGGGGGCGCTATATAGACCACTTTCTCCAGTGTTAGTGATTTTAGCCAGTGAAGTCATAATTTAGGGCCAGCCGAATGTCAACGAACCTGTAACGTGCCGTGAAGAGTTCGCAATGGTTGTCAAATCCACCCTTGCCGCTACGGTTGGGCGCCCTATACGATTGGTATACAGTGGTGAAGTAGATGCCATTAACAAAGGTAATTATTGACTACTGTGCTGCCATTTTTTCACCAGTACACCGTAAAATGTCATTTCATTTCTCAGTGTTGGGTGTCGGAAAGTCTCCGCGATTTCTCTTCTGTAGCGATTCGAAATTCAGCCTTTCGATTTATGTGAAGCAGACCACGTTAGCAAACCATGGGGGATCATGGGCCTCTACAGCTGCTAATGCCGTTTGGTCTCCAGAATTCGGCTCCGAGCTCATTTTCAAATTGCCTAAGCCACCTGGCAGAAATATGGCTCAAAGCCAGCATGCAGGTCGCTGGCGTAAAGACCCTGATATTATTTCATGCAGTACGGATCGAAATGCTCCGATCGCTTTTGCTCGAAGACGAGCTATACCTTCACCTCCATGGATCCTGGCTTTGCCATGCGTGAGGTGAATGGGTCCGCTGATGCAGTAGCGTGCTATGTACTTTCTCTGTCCAACGTGCACAGGGGCAGGAATAGGAGGGTGCTGATAGCCTGGAAGCAGTCTCCGCTAGCTTCGCGACGCATTGGCCAGCATGTAGCGCGCTGATTACACCGCTAATCCGTTAGGCCAAGCGCGCGACTTGTCTGCGTCCTCTTGACTCCCACATGGCTCAGTGTACGTTTCGAACCGGACCTTGTTATCGCCGCATGAGCTGCATATCGAGGATTGTGCCTGCGGAGTATGGAGGCGGCACCCGGGTTTCACTGCTCCCAAGTCGAGTTCGGGCGAAGAGAGTGGTACGTTACTGCAACTGTGGACTTCTTCGCCTCTCATGTAGCAGGGACCATCTCGGTGTGTGTGTGTGTGTGTGTGTGTGTGTGTGTGTGTGTGTGTGTGTGTGTGTGTGTGTGTGTGTGTGTGTGTGTGTGTGTGTGTGTGTGTGTGTGTGTGTGTGTGTGTGTGTGTGTGTGTGTGTGTGTGTGTGTGTGTGTGTGTGTGTGTGTGTGTTTGTGCTTCGCGACTTCCACTGGGCCAGATCAACTGTTGGTCCTGGAGAGCATTTAACGAGGAATTCGACGCGGCTGCGGCAGCGACAGCTCCAGCTCTTGAAGGCTCGCTAGAAGCAAGTCCGCAACACCGCCTCGTAGGAGGGTGCAAGTGACTCAGCCCTTATTGACTATCCCTCAGCAACCTTCTCCGGGGTAGAAAGCACAACTCCCAAAAGCACCCCTGACATGATGTGGCCGCCTTTCTCGGGATCGAACCGTGAAGCTTCTGTAAGCGAGGCAACCGTTCTTTGCTTGGTTATTGGCAACAAGTCACTGGTGTTGATACGCACACAGACGTTATCGCTGGATTTGGTAGAGGCGTGTCAAAGCTGCTTCGTTTTGGCGCTTCGCCGGCCTTTTTAACAACACTCACTATGTGCCCTAACCCACGACAATCGTTGGGAAGTAGGCTGGTGCCGCACCAAAACTGAGCTGGCACACTCCGACTGACTTCGGTGATGATATGTTGTTCATTGATACTACTTTTTTATTGGAATAATTTTGATCCGGAATTGATCGAACAATGTTCTGGACAATCTTCTGGAGAACCCTCATATTGGAAAATACCTCTAGCAACAGTCTATTTTCAGATGGAGATCCAATTGAGTTGAAGACACAGCGCCATGCTCTTGAAGGGACCTTTTGGAAGCAAAAGAGCATGAAGTGGTGGTTACAATCATTTCTTATTGGCATTCGAGATATAGTCGTTGGGTACCGCGATGATGACGGAATTGTGACAAAGGTACGTTTTTCCCAGCGGCAGACAGTTTCAGTGGGCGTATTTGGCGGAGAGAGGCGGAGATGTAACCTGTGTTACCACATTCACGGCTCGCAGATCGATTCCTCGTAAACTGATCACGGGAGACCTGCAAGGTGAGCTGCAAGGCTGCCATGCCATAGAAAAGCACCTTTTGTTGAGCGAGGCCTATTCTATCCTTGAGGGGCGTGGCTAGAATTCGTTTCGGAAAGGACGCGTTTTGACGCGCAAATAACTTGCCAAATAGTTGCTCACCTTGCAAGTCTTCCGTGCAGTTCGAGCAATACTGCTCCGCTGCACTGTGCTGTTTGAGGAGTGGGAGCTTAAAGTCACAGTTCATGGCAATGGTGTGGATGGAGACAGTCAGTCACTGCTTCTTACCCAACAGTTGCTACCCTCGCGACTGTCCCCGTAAGGCGGTAGGAAGAGGGGTGGTCAATGAGAACGACATAACGGTTGCCTGTTCCCTTCTTTCCCCTAGTTGTGCCTCTGCACTCAAACGAAGTACACCTTGACTTCGTTCACGTCATTGGGGAGGAGGACTTAAATGCCCAGTGGGCTCTGTTGGTTTTGACACCCTTAGTAAAATGCCCATCGAAAATTCGCTCTTTTCAGTTGGATTCGTGCATGCGGAAGGAGCTGCCGTGAAAAAAGGGGCGATATGGGTCGCGAAATGTTTGGCATGAATTTACTATCCAATGTGTTTGAACGTCGGTGAGTCTTAGAAGAACACATGGTACGCACGTCAAAACACATTGCAGGCGTGTATGCAGACTAACAGCCTCCCCACTGTCGATGTGTCGTGGTCCCCCGCTCAAACATGCCCAGGAATGGAGATACAGGACCGTGGGAAAGGCTTATTCCTTGCTACTCCGCCCAAAATTCACCGCGCGCGCGGCGAAATGCAAAAAAACCTTCGCGCGCGCGGTGAATTTTGGGCGGAGTAGCAAGGAATAAGCCTTTCCCACGGTCCTGTATCTCCATTCCTGGGCATGTTTGAGCGGGGGGACCACGACACATCGACAGCTGGGGGGCTGATAGTCTCATACACCCTCAATGTGTATGAGCGTACCATGTGTCTTTAAATCAGTAGCGGCTTCATAGCTTAGAAACAGACGGAGAGCGGCCGCCATGAAACCCACTCCTTCTGCTTGTGTGTTTGCCCTTTCTACCAAGCATAGCTAATTTGTCGGAACCCAAGCGGACCGAAAAAAAAATGGGTATGTTAACTCAAGCATCAACTGCTCTTTAACCGTCAGGCTAGTCTTTCCTTCGTATTTACTTTTTTTACGCAATAGTTATAGTCGCTTTCAATGCAGAGGCTGGGACATGCCAGGGAGACTGCGTTTGGCTAGTTTTCCACCAGTTGCTGTCGCATGTCCATTTCTGCTATTGGTGGGGAATAGGGTTCCGCCGTGCCAAACCCAGCCCGCTGACAGGCCTACATCTGCAGCGAGAACGACTGTAGAAGATGCTACGCGGAAGGCTCCCATGCGAACGGCGCTCTCTAGGCGATTACGGGGCTTCTGCCAACAAGTCATTCTCTCGCTGCATGGGTCCAGCGTTTGAAGAAAGGAAAATAAGAAGAGAGAAGGAAGAAGGAAGGAAGGATTGTAGGGATAGAAAGATGAAATAGGAAGGAGATTCCGCGGTTAACAGATGTCCTGAGACTTCCCTAAGCTGCTGTGCTCCTGCCTTCTCACCGAACTATCTGCCTGATCATAATTTTCCGCTTTTCGCAGTGAGGACCTTTCGCTGAGTCAAACATGGGGCCGATTTTCTGCTCGCTCTGTAGCATGCACATAAAAGCGATATTGATTTTACGCGCGTGGAATCGGTGTTTTTTTGCGGAACACGTGCCAATGAGGGAAATTATTTTATAGCAGCAACTTTCCCTCTACTTCTATAAAACTATGTTTTAAGCTGCGAGAGTTATTGGAAGAAGATGGTGAAGCATGTCTGGTTCGATATGAACAAAATCGTGATGAAATTACGATTCATTCCACTCCACTGCCTGATATCGATTTCTTTACGTATGCTTTTCGTGTCCATTTCAATCTGGAATAGGAATGCCTGTTTTTGTAGAAGCTGATTCCCTTTCACTTCATGACTCGGTATTTGTTCTCAGTCCATTCGTTCGATCTCTTCTGTCCCCCTTTTTCATTTGAGAGATACTGCATAAACTTGGACGGGCGTGCCAGGCGGCGACGAGACTGTCCCACCACGTCTTTTCGGCGCTTTGTAACGGATTCAAAGCCCATATCTGAGGGCAGCAAGAGGCTTCTTTGTGAAAGCGATGATAGTACAGACGAAAAATAGGCAGAGATGTATAGCCATGATCCCTACAAACGATAGGGCGTGTGATAGAGGAGGGGCGGCATAAGTTGGATCGCAGCCAGAACGGTCCTTCCCGCGAATCGTTGCGGACTCGGGGTAGCATCATTGATGGGAAGGCTGCCTTAGTAGCGCTCCCCTCCACGCTCCCGGCACAGTCCCTTTGTTCGCAAGGATCGTGACTGTATGTATAAAAGAGGGAAGTCACCACGGAGATGCGCAAGCGTCGTTGGAACGCCTCTTTTCGCCCTCCGATATCGACGATATACAGTCGTATCGATGCGTCATGTGTAGACGTTTCTGCATGCGTACACTCCTTATCCCTGAGCCAGAGTAGGCGTGGCATTTGAACATGGCACGGAATTGGTTACTCGTGGAATATTCCAGTCTGGGACAACTGTCATCTTGTTCTGTGTTGGACAGAGACACGACAACAATTGTGTCAAGATGAAAATATCTCACCAGAAGCACAGCCATCTTCAGATTCAGTCAAAGCACGCAGCCACGCCTACCCGATCTCAGGGATTTCGAGTATATGTTCTGGCGCGCGGCGCCAGCTCGTTTCCATTAGCTGGCCATTTTGCGGCCACCAACAGTTGGTATAAATTTACTGATGTATATGTAGGGACGCCATGGCACAAGAGGCACACGGAATCAGGCATGGCGTGACATTGTTGCGCCGCTACCTGGCACTTACCAAATTGCTTGTTTCCCTGAATGAAACTCACCCGCGTGTGAAATGCGTGTCAGGCTGGATGTTTTTGGCGTAGCGCCTCCTCACCAGTTGTTGAAGCGAGCAAGAGGCAAAACTGTATCGTATCTGCTGTTCTCGCCAGTTGTCGTCGCTCAACCTCTTCAATAACGGATGGGTTTGGGGCCGCGCGAAAGTCATCCCGCCTGTCACGCCCTTTCATCCGCACAGAAAAAGACTGTATAATTTCCATTTTTCACCTAAATCCAAAGATTGGCAGTCGAAAAGCAATCATCCGAAAAAGTCGCTTATCTAGGCTCCTCTTGCCAACTGTTTGCCTTATACGTCATTTGCTTGCTAATTTCGAGTTGCTGTATGGAATCTGCTTGGTTTTTCCTATGTTTTTATTGTTTCAATCGTGCTTTTTCGACAGTATCAGCGCTGTTTGGTCAATATTTGTCGCTTCGTTTTGCCACCGCGCTATGGTTCGCAGGGGATCCCATCGAAAATTTCAGACAAAAGATGGAACTTGAAGTAAAGGATGGTCGTGGGGAAGGGCAGAAATGCCAGAGACAGCAAGATTTTGGGGGACGTGTTCTAACAAAAATTTTTCCATCGAACAAAACATGTTGCCCTGGTGTTTCTAGCATTACTGAGTGGGTCAGGAGAGCGAGCTTACAGTGGCGTGTGGAAGGTTAGTCACCGCGTATACCGGCATGACGATTCATCGCACGTATTGCGTGTTGCGTGCAGGTTGCGTGACGCCACAAGTCAGATTTCCTGACTCGCACTCTACTGCAGATCGTAATAGCCTCAGTTTTTGGGGTTTTGATTTGAAAGTGTTATTCGTGACGTCGGTAAATTCGGTGGATTTTGAGTTGTTAAGGCGGCCTCTATAAATTCATTTCTTGATTTATAAATACTGAAATCACCTGTTTTATAATGGCTGATAGGAATGTGAGGTTCAGCAACCTGAATTGACCAGGCAAGTCAATGAGGTTCTCCTTATCTTGAATTTTTGAACGCCAGTAAGTTTTGAAGGGAATTTTTGGACTTTTCTTTCTCTTAAGCTCGTAGTTTACTAAATGCTGTCCCAATTCGCTGAAACCTGTAACCTCCTTTGACCAGCTGCGAAAGTGGTGAAAAATTGCATTGATTTGAAAAGAAAATTTCACAGGTGGTCTGCAGCGAAGCTTAACTGTGTAACGCATTCGGTTGCCGCCCACCGAGGCCGAACTGTGGCTCGCAATTAACGAGGTCTGGTTATCCCACTCTTTCATCAGTCGTACTGCGGTTAACAAGCAAAGGGGAGTTGGAGCTAGGCGTTTTCATGGGTAATACTGCTAATTACCACTTCATTCTATCAGATTGCTGCCAATACATCTCGACCTCTGTTCAAAATCGTAGAGAGCATTTGAATGCGCACTAGAGTTCAGACAATGATTTTGGACATATCGCGCTGACCAGGTTAAACGCTTTATGAGCTCATATTGTTCAGGTTATTAATAAAAAGTCTGGCTGGGCCGTTTCTGTGGGTGCACTATGGCAGAAATTGAATTACTTAACTCGACATACTATGCACTAACAGTGGTCTTGTGCAAATGCCGCTCACGTAAATCCATTTGCAACGCGGCGTCGCAGCAACGCGGACCACCACCTAACTGACACCTCTGAATGAACGGAAAATTCCACAGGTCTCCATGAAATGGTGTTGACGAAACGCTAACAGAAGCTGCACTACAGCTGGAATATCTGAAACCACTAAAATAGATTTGTGCCTTGCCGGAGTCCCGTGTTTCCTTTCCTTTCCCGTGCTCAATTGATGTTTGGAATGGCTTCGTGATTTTTGTAGCCAGGGCTATTCCACGAAGTGAGCCGCCTTCGCCACAAGGAAGTGCGAGATGGATTGGCCGAAACCCGCCTAATCTACATCCATCCTGCCTGTATGGCCTACGCGACATCAGACGACTTACACCTTTAATTACCGAGCGTGTTGTCCGCAGCGTCGCAGGACGATGTCATGTGTTCGTCGCAGGAGTCGCGAGCGCGCTCAATTTTGCTACTTAAAGGCTCGGTCCGCGACCAGGTATAGATGAAAATATGACGTGGGAGGGTGGTGTGGTCCGCGGCGAACAACCCTTTACCGATTTCGCGGCAAAATAAAAAAAAAAGCAAAATATTCTAAGAGGGGCGCCGCAGCGCTACATAGGTTTAGTAACGCCTCCTTTTTACCAGTGACTCCGCCTCCAGACTCCGCCTTCAAGGCCCGCCTTTCAGTGAAAAACGATTGCTGGGTGCAGATGAAAAGCATGAAAAATAGTCACTTTGTCTGACTGCAAGAGTTCTTAATCGGGTAATCAGGCTGTAACGGATTGAGCGGCGCAGTGTTGGAGATGGAGCCAGCTGTGGGTCACGCTAGACAAACTGGGGTTCTATCTAGAGCAGGTGGCATGTTTCTTCTGCTTTTTTCTCCACTATCGCGTTACTCAGCACCTTTTCGTCTATATGCAAACGCCTAATCCACTACCTGTGCAGGCGAGTGATCGCGGGTTTTGCCTTTGAGGAGTCTGCTCTTCCATGGGTACTTTTCTTAAAATGATGGATGCAATAAAGCAGTCCACCACGGATGCAATGCTGCCAGGGATGCAGTTGCATTAGAGCAATAGTTTGTCGGGGCATTGTTCAACGTAATCTTGATTTCGTGGGGGGGGGGATTTTCGCGAGCTATTTTCTGTTCTGTTCCAACGCTTCTTTCGTTTTTTTATTGTTGGATGGCATTTCACCCGATGCAAGGAAGAAATGATTCGTGAGCAAGAGCTTGCACAGAGACCGCAGGATGTCGATTTGCTAGCATCTCCGAATAACTCGCACAGTGGGTCCAGTTGACTGTCAATGAGGTCTTTATTCAGGAAATCGAAGGTTTTTTGTTTTTTCTTCACTGGAGAGTCATTTAGCGGCTAGACGTCTTCATTGCTGAGCCCCACTACCCACAATACTCAATCGTGGGACCGGGACTTGTTTTTAAGGGTGATAAACCCTGGTGTGAGCTGGTATGAACCTTGCACTTTGAAGTGGGCCACATACGAACTCAAGTCCCTCTGCGGGTCTGAATGAAGGGCGAGATAGTTGTGCATTGCTAAAGCTTTTGAATCATCGCGCTGCTTTGCTTGGAGGGGGCATTTTGGACATTCGCTGGTTCCCTTTGTAAGTTAAAGTGTTAACTAATAGGTCTCACTCTGGTCGGACCCGTAAACCCCTGTGAACTTGTTCGAGTGAACCACTTTGGTGACAGGAATTCACAGGGCTTCACACGTTGGCCTGTACTGAGTGTACAGTGCCCCCACCAAGCCAAATTTCGCCATCGCATTCTACGCTTTTGGTGGGACGTAGTCAGACAGGTCATTGCGTCCTCATATTGGTCCCCATCTGGCTGGTGGCAAGACTAGGGAAGCACCAATGAGGAATGAGGTGCTGTCTTACCCCGCCCACACGACCAGCGTGAAATGTCCTTTGATCAACGCCCCTGTTCCTAGATTTTCTCTGTCTGAAGACGATGCACAAGGCGACAATTTATCGAAGAAAATTTTGCAGTA